AATATATATATATATATATATATATATATATATATATATATATATCTAGCAGTAAATGAGATATGTACATAGAGTAAAGGAGTGTAACACCCGTTGATAACTCTAGAGTCTTAAGCATATGTTTACACTCTTAAGCATATGTTTTGTGCATAGTTTGCATGTCTAGAGTCTTATTTCTTAGGATTTTTAGCTTCTTCTCCTTCATATTTCACATTTAGGATTTTTAGCATAGGCATTTGCATATCATTTGCATTTTACAGTAAAAACATGTACACTCGGACACTTCAGAGCATGAAATCGATCGAGTGAACCCGGCCCAGCGAAGGTGAGGACGATCAAGCACTCGAACCTAGAGAAGGAAGATGGACTCGGACGAGCTGGAAGAGGACGCGAACGAGCCCAGCATGAACCCGAACGAGCTCCCCTCAAACTGACTTTGCAATTTGTCTTTTAGTGTTTTAGGGCTTACAGTACTTAGTATAAATAGAGATCTTGGGTCATTAAGAGAAAAATCAAGTTTCATTAGGGTTTTTCTCTGTAGCCACCCAACATTTCCAGAAACTTGTAATCTTAATGTATTTTGATCTTTTGAGTTTTTAGTAATGCTTTTTTATATTATCTTGCTCGATAGATCATTATCTATCTAGTTATGCATGATTTAGCAATTTTTGGGTTTGTGTTCTTCATGATGAATTCCAGATCTGAGTAGTTTTCTGGGTTAAGAGGATGGGTTAGGTGATGAGGAATCTTAGTTTCTAGGGATGCTCAAGTATAGATTCAGGTAGATACCTTCTGGATTAGGAGATTTAATTGCTAGTCTTTGCATTAACCATGTGGGATTAAATCTTAGACATTCCAACACCCAAAAAGTGTTCAATGGAATGTCAGATTCACTACTGCCAGAGATCTATTTACTTACCAAATAGATTGGCTGTTAAGGAGTAGATTGACATTAATGAGCTTGATCTTTATGCCTATATATTGTATGTTTTATCAATGAAAGTTAAGATTAGGAAGTACTTTAGATCTAATAATCTTTGCCAAGAGACTGGACTGATTAGGTTAAGTGGTTCATTGTCTAGGATTAGATCTATTTGAGCATGTTAAGCATCCCCTAGAGATTAAGAGGATTCATCACCCCATTAGCCCATCCTTGAGACATTCCTTCATCTAATTGTTTAGACGCTTTAACTTCTAATCGTTGGGTTAACTCAACTTATGGTTTGGAAGAAATGCTATGTCGACATAAACTCGAGCATCCGTCATTCTTTGGCCTTTTCTTGAGTTTGTCATTTTCTGAAAGAGAAGAGAAAGAGCTGAGAGTTAAGACTTGATCCTAAGGTGCTTAAGTGTTGTTTTCAAGGGGTTCTAGCGAGTTTAATAGTTTGTTCTTGTGGGTTTTAACATAGAGGATGAAGGGATTCTACCTTTGCAGCTTGTCTGTTTTGAATCTCAGGTACACGACTACTCGAGCCCGACAAACCAACCCGATCGAGTCGAGTCTGCTCATAGCTCGACCCTGTCTCACCTTTGCTGACCTACCTCAAATGTATCTGATGGACCAGTTCATGATGAATATCCACTACAAGCACCACCCAATGCAAGTCACTACACCTTCTTATCAATTTCAAGATGGCTATCATCAACCTTTGGCTCCACAACATGGTTTTCAACATCCAGCACCTTGGATTGCCCCTGCTGAAGATTTTTAGTTGAAGAAAATGTTGCAGCAGATTCTCCAGCTGCAAGCTGATGGTCAATTGGAAATGACTAGGATGTTCGATGAGCTCAACAACACAATAACTTCCTCATATAATGATCTGTCTCAAAAGCTTGAAGCTTTAAGCAACAAAGACATGTATACGGAAGCCAAGGAGTTTGCAACTGCTCATGTTATCACTTTAGGAGAACTACTTTTACATCAAGACCACAAGGTAATCCCTGAGGACAGTGATGAACAGAGGGGGAAGGTTTCTGTCAAAATGAGTTTTAGGCTGCAAAAAACACAAGGGAATAGATCCGACCAACCCACCCAATCGGACACTGGAGTGACTGATAGCGTCAAGACCAGCATAGTTGAAAAGCAAGTTTTCTCAAAGTTAAAGGAACCACACTACATCCCTCTAACCTTCAAGCCTCCATTGCCATTCCCTGGAAGATTTAAGAAAGAAATCAAGGAGGAGTATAGAGAAATACTCAAAACATTTAAAGGGACTGAGCTAACAGTAGCTTTGTTAGATGCTTTTGGCAATATTCCTTCTTACAACATGATCCTGAGAGAAGAAGGTTTCAAGAGAAGAAGGCTGCTCAAGAAAAAGCTAAGGAAGATGAGAGAAAAAGAGCACTTAGCCATGAGTGTAGTGACATCGTCAAGAAGAAGATTGTCCCAAAGAAGCTAGAGGATTCTGGTTCATTGACCTTGCCTTACTCACTAGGTCCAATGTCTTTCAGTAGATGTCTTTGTGATCTAAAGACAAAAGTCAGTTAACTGAGCCAGCAGTCTTGGAGGGTGTAAATGGGCTAAAAACTAAGATTTTGGCTGCAAATGAAGAAGCTTCAAGTGGAACACGACCATTGAGCCGATCACACAACCGCGTCAAGCGATCGCGTCAAGCCATAACCCCTTCAAAGTGTCCAGATGTGCTTCCCAAGCCTCCCCAACAGCTAGAGTCGAGAAATCATGCATCTCATAGTTGGTTAGAACTCCAAACTATCAACATTCTAATGGATTCAATTAGGGAGTTGAAAATGACGGTGAAAGAGATGAGTGGAAAAATCAAGAAGCTCTAGGGGAAAAGTTGTGGTACTCCTCCAAAGAAAGCAAGTTCAAAGTTGAGTGTAATGCGGAGGTACCACTCTTTTAGCATTGAACCAGGACAAAGGGAAGCAACACCTTCCCCGATCGGGTTCGTTAAGCTGACCCGATCAGGCCAGTAAAATTGACTCGACCGCGCCAGCACCGTTAGCCCAATACAGGTAACTCCATCACTTTTCTTTCGATATTCCAGTTTGCATTTTGTTTTTTTTTTGTTGGTTTTAGATCCCAAGTCTTCCTTCGGATTTTTATTACACTAAGGACTGTGTAATTTCAGTTTGGGGGAGGGTTTGGAATAGCATTTGACATCTTTTCTGTTTTTTTATTTCGAATTTTTAGCATCTAGTCTTGCATTCATCTATGTGCATCAAAAACCCTAAAAATTTGAAATGTTTTCACAAAATCTTTTAAAAACAGAGTGTTCATATAGTTGCATTTGCATATTAGTCTTACTTTAGGATGTAGCATTTAGGATCAATGCATTTGTATAGGGGATTAGGATGATTAGAATCAAAGAATTTGTTGTTTCATTAGACTTAAAATCAATGCCCTCGTACATAGTTGTTTAATGTAATTGTATGAGCTTGAATTGAGACTGCACCATTCTTTGATCGCATGATTTGAAATCTAGTCTAAACTGAAGCTTGCTTTGATATGTTGCCATTCCGTATTTATTAGAACCTTAACTTGAATTGATAATTATCTGGTTGTGATTTGTTATAAACTCATGGATACCTTGTATACATACTTGGATCTTCTTTCCCTCTTTTTACCACCCTTTTGTTGATCCAAGTAGTTGGTTATAACCTTGACCAGTTAACCACTCCCTAAAAAACCTTAACCTTTTCTTCAAGTCTTTGTATTGATTCTGAGTGGAAGGCCTATTTTATTGGATTGAGATTTAAGAGAACGTGTGAGGTTTGAGCCGACAAGAATAAGATATTGAGTAGTTCTGATTTGCATTTTTCGGTTCAGATAGGACTAGGATAGATTCTACTTGGGTTTTGGGATCTGTTGGGATGGTGAAAAGAAAAGAAAGAAAAGAAAAATGGAATGAGTTGAGTTTTTAGGAGAGAAAAGTTTTAGAAAAGTTCAAAGTTCTAGTGAAAGATGTGTGGGGAATGCAAAGTATAGAAAGATGGTTCTAGATTTTAAAAGAAAGAAAGAAAAGTGTGAGAATAGCAAAAAGTTTTGATGTCTTAAGTGTTAAGAAGAAAGAGAACCATAGTGTTTATCAAGAAAACCCCCTATCGACTAATTTGTCATAAGAACTCCCCTAAGACTTAGAAGAAAAAAAGAGAAATGGGATAAAAAGAGTTAAAAGGGTAGAATAGGACCATATGGGTTTAGACATTTAGGATATCACTTGGGGCCTTTGGGTAGTCAAGATGTTATTCTTGTATGCATTTGTTGGTCCTTACCTTTAACATTCTCCCAAAAGCTCAATCTTGTTTATTGAGAGATCCCAGCACTTAAAACGTTTAAACCCTCATCAAAGGAGACCTTCTTTGTCTCATAAACCTTTTCATACCTAGCCAAATGAGTTTATATTCATTTCACATCCAGATTCATGGTTACTGCTTAAAGAATGTTAAAAAGAATGGTTGATTTGAATGCTTGCCTAGGTTCTATGACTGATGACATTTTGTGTTGAAATGAGCATGGCTAAAGTTTTCAGAGTGTGGTTCATATAATTTGCATTCTAGAACTATAGACAAGGACATTGATTTTAACTACTTTAGCAGCAAGTATTGGTTCTGAATCCCTACCTTCAAACCTCTCTTCCTACTTTGAATTTGCTTTAGGCCAAGCAAAGAATAAGTTTGGGGAAGTTGATAACTCTATATTTTTACACTCTTAAGCATATGTTTTGTGCATAGTTTGCATATCTAGAGTCTTATTTCTTAGGAGTTTTAACTTCTTCTCCTTCATATTTCATATTTAGGATTTTTAGCATAGGCATTTGCATATTATTTGCATTTTAGAGCAAAAACATGTACACTCAGACACTTCAGAGCATGGACCCGATCGAGTGAACTCGGCCCGACCAAGGTGAGCACTTCAAGCACTCGGACCTAGAGAAGGAAGCTCTAGTTTCTTTGAAAGATTATTAAGACTTTAAGATTAAAGAAAAACTCTCTTTATTAGCTTTAGAAAATAACTCAAAACTAAAGCACTCTTAATTTCTTAATCTCTCAAAGCTCATAAGTTATGCTACACCCTAGCATCTCCTTATATAGAGCTTTCACACAAACCCTAATACAAAAATCCTAAACGATAACTCGGTTTACAATCTAAAACCATAACTCGGTTTAGACGGGCTTTGCTTGGGCCTTAAGTCTTCAAGCTTACTCCAACAATCTCCCCCTTAAGCTTGAAGTTCTTCTTTGACAAGGTATGAACACCAATGTGATTCCTCATTTCCTTTAACCTATTCTTGTCAAGAGCTTTAGTCAAAATGTCAGCAAGTACTTTAGGAAGTACTTTAGATCTAATAATCTTTGCCAAGAGAATGGACTGATTAGGTTAAGTGGTTCATTGTCCAGGATTATATCTATTTGAGCATGTTAAGCATCCCCAAGAGATTAAGAGGATTCATCACCCCATTAGCCCATCCTTGAGACCTTCCTTCATCTGATTGTTTACTTGCTTTGATTTCTGCTTTTAATATTGCTTCTTTAGTTCTTACATGTTTAGTTTCTCTTTAGTATTATTCTTAGATCTTTAACTTATCTTTAGTAGTGTTATTAGATTCCTTAATTTCATTATGTTATTTACTTACCTGCATTTGAATTGAACACTCCGAACTTTCAACTGTTTGGCTTGACTTGATTAGTTATGTTATATCTTAATTGTTTACAATACACTCAATTGGATCGATTTAGCCCTTTGTACTATATTGCACTGGGGTAATTGAACTCCAAGAGACACAAAACTCTGTTTCACCCCTGATCAAAATTTGGGTAGTGTTGATCGACACCAAGGGTGGGTGTCAGTCGATACCAACAATT